TCCGCCTCCTCCCTCCCCTTCCCGCGCCGCCTCCGCCTCCTTCCTCTGCCTCCACCCTCACCCTTTCCCGTCGGTGCGGAGCTGGGCTCCTCGCAGCGCTCAGCCCGCTGCAGCTTGGATGTGGGCTCGGGACAAGTGCTCCGCGCCACCGCTCGAGATGGACAGCCGCTATACCAGCGCCGCGGGCATAGGGGACTTGAACCAGCTGAGTGCCGCCATCCCTGCCACACGCGTGGAGGTGTCAGTGTCCTGCAGGTGAGGACGCGGCTCGTTTCCCTTCCTTTCACCCGGGGCTTGGTGGCACTTGGCTTGCGCTCCCTGGACCACGAGGCTTGGCGCCGGTGAGAAGTTGCTTGATGAGTGGGAACACCCTAGTTGTGAGACGCTACCCCAACCCCCCACCCCGGTCAAGTGACACAGAGTTGAGGACTAGAGTGGTGGGCTTTGGGACTGAATCTTTTTTGTTTTCTTTCTGAGAAATGCAGTGAAAGTTGACAGAGCTGTGACTCAGCTACGGGAACTCCAGCCGCCGCCCACTTTAAAAAAAAAAAAAAAAAAAAAAAAAAAAAAAAACAAAAAAAACCAAAAAACGAAATCAGGGCCAGAGGTTTAGTGATGACTGGAACCTAAGGGTCAGCATTGCCCAAAGCGCGCGTGACTGCTGCGCACATTGGCCTGAGAGTCTGGGAGCCCGGTGGGATCAACTCCAGTTCGGCAGCTTCCTCTCCTCCCACTTCCTGGAACCATCCAACTTCCTCACCCTACACCCTTCCGGGATGTTTGCCCTAAGCCTGTAGCCTTTTCAGGTTCAGTGTTCCTGGCAGAGGCTTACCTAAGAACTGAGAAGTCACGACTGATTTTTTTTTTTTTTTTTTTTTTTTTTTTTTTTTTTTTTTTTTTGCCCCTCAGTAGATAAACATGAGAATGCTTGCAAGTCTCAACCTCAGGATTGCCAGTTTCAGACCCCCTTTCCTGATGCTCAGTGGACCAGATCCTACTGCCCCACTTTTGGAGAATTAGGTGGTGGGCTCTATTAAGGATTCTAGAGTTATTACATACACTCAGGTGCCCACTCCTCGTTTGAATACTCCACCTTTCTAGGAGGAAAACTCTACACACACTCTGTGTTCGTAATGTCAGGGAACTAGTACCACAGCAGCCCTGCCATTCTTATATGATTTTAAGTAAATACCCTCAAATCAATGTTTCTTCCTTTACTGCAGTGGTCTCGACCTTCCTAATGCTGCAACACTTTAATACAGTTCCTTATGTTGTGGTGACCCTCCCAACCATCAAATTATTTCATTACTACTTCATAACTTTAATTTTGCTACTGTTATGAATTGTAATGTAAATATCTGTGTTTTCCCATGGCCTTAGGCGACCCTTGTGAAAAGGTTGGCTGAGCTCTCAAATGGGTTGCGACCCACAGGTTGAAAATCACTGTTCCAAAACTAAAGTATCTTGGAAATTTACATTTCAACACACACACACACACACACACACACACACACACACACACACACACACACACACACACACACACACACACACACCCTATAGTCCTGTTCTTTGGGTAAAGGATAGTCCTGAGATGACGATTTGATTAGTCTTGGGAGTGACTGACCTCAGACTGTGAAAGTGATCATGGTGTTTGTAACAGCTGACACAAAGCCTTGGCTTATTATGGTCATCCCCTTTAGTGCTTCACTGGACTCCTTTCAGTGGACAGCTGCCTGGCAGACTCTTGTGGCAATTCCTAGGTGCTTTTGTTCTCTCTGAAGCTGGCTTTGGGATTTAGAAGGAGGTTTCTGCTACCTACTACAGAAACACAGTGGGTGGTCAGAAACCCTCCCAGCAGCATTTTCTAGTGTTCCATCAGCTGTTCACCCTTCAGCAGGGGTGGGAGGGCACTAAACAGATGAGAACGTTGCACACCAATTGTGAGAGCCCTGTAGGTCCTCAGGGTGATGTGGAACAGTACTATTAGGTAACCATCCCCATCCCTATTTGCTGTAGGCATATGCTGAGGAAGGTCCTGAAGTGTATTGGCCACACCAGTTTGTTTTAACTTCCTGCTCCAGGTCCTGGAGACTGTCTTCTCCATGGGATTACTCTTTAGCACAAAAAAAAAAAAAAAAAAAAAAACCCTCCAAATAAGAAAAAAATATTCTGAAAGAAAAACAAGTACTTAGTGTTAAATATTTCTGCTTAGGCTGTTCAGGCCTACTCTATTATTTGAGTTGTCCACAACCAGTCAATTGTTTCCTTCTTGCTAAGTAAGCAAAGTAAGGCAGGTTAATTTCACTTCTGTGGTGTTGAGAACTCTGCCTTGCCACCTTGGGAGATGGTATGATTTGAACGTCAATATCAGTCCTGGGTGCAAATTCTAGTCTCATGACTTATTTTTATTGCCTAAGAATTGGTTCTTATTTAGATTGTCTAAGCTTGTTCATATCTGATAATGAAGCTAACTGTGACATTTTCTTTGGAGCATTATGAGGGTTTTATGGGTGGATATGGGGAATGTACTTGTACAACACATGGCACTGTTAGCTATGAAATAAAAACCATGAGCTATTATTATGAGATGGTGTCATAGTTAGGGTTACTATTGCTATGATAAAACACCATGACCAAAACACCTTCGGGTGGAAAGTGCTTATCTGGCTTAAGTCAGGACAGGAACTCAAGCAAGGCAGGAACCTGGAGGCAGGAGCTGATACAGAGGCCATGGAGGGATGCTGCTTACTCCCTGTGGCTTGCTCAGCTGCTTTCTTACAGAACCCAGGACCACCAGCTCAGAGACAGCACCACCCATAGTGGGCTGGGCCTTCCCTGTGACTCACTAATTGAGAAAATGTCCTACAGGCCTGCCTACAGCTGGATCTTATGGAGAGAGTTTTCTCAATTGAGGTTCCCTCCTTTCAGATAACTCTATCTTGTGTCAAGTTGACATAGACTAGCCGGCACACATAGAAAATGGCACTTAAGAGTTCTGCTAACAGGGTTCTGTGACTTCTTTCTATTTAAACTTTAGTAAGCCAGGTATCGAAAACAGAGCTAGCTGTTCCCAGAGCACAGCTTTCCCAGGATGCTTAGCAAGAAGGTACAACTGAAGGCCCTTCAGCCTTGCTGTGGGTAAGCAGGGCAAGGACTTCCCAGGAGGCATTGTCTTAGAGAGCTCTGTAGGCTGCTGTTTCAAAAGCAGTTTACAGCGGAATCCCTTTTGATAACCTTCTTCTTCTGCCCCCCCCCATCAAAAGATCCCGTGTCACTTTAAGGACAGAAAGATAACAACTGAAGCCCGAAGCTAAATATATAACTCTTTTTATTGATCAAGTATCTGAGTGTGTTTTATGTGTCCAGGAATTAAACTGTGCTCCGTGAGTAGTACAGACAAGCTGTCATCCCTGAAAACATGAAATGTGACTGGCAGATACACATTATAGAAGATACTCACCTAAGCTAAGGCCTAGCAATAAGGCTTCTGCATGATCAGGGATAGGGCATCGTGGAGCTGAGGACTCAACATTCATGACAGGAAGATGGGTGTGACTGATCAAGGCAGATGCTCATGGATTGGAGAGATGATAGCATCAGTTTTAGTGGCTAGGAACTTGCTGTGTTAGTGAAGAAACCACACTCTGGTTAGAGTCACAGGAAGGCGCAATTGCAATCTCTGGCGTCTCTTCTATTCATTGCCTTATTTGTGCATTCATGTTTCTTTATTAAAAGTAATTTGTAGATTTTTAAAAATGTAAGTTCCCCAATTAACTGAACTTTCCCATAGCTCAAATAATACAGCTTTAGCTAAGCTTCCAATTTTATTCTGAAAACACATCTATCTAAATTGATGCTAAAGTTAATGGGGAAAAATAATTCGAAGTAATGAATCACTTTCTCTGGAGCCTTTGTTTCACTATTTTAGTGAGAGTTAGTTAACAGTCAGAATATGGAATGCTTCTGGTCTCCCCGAGCTAGCTCTGAGGTGCTCATCCAGTCAATCACTCCTGGAGCGTAGAAGGAAGTTAAAATGTTTTGAATGTGTGTGTCCTGGTAAGAATTCTGAAAGCTGGACCTGATGTAGTTTCCTTGTCTTGTCTTGCACCAATTCTCCCAGGAGCTGTCTGAATGTAGTGTGACAAACGTGTGCTTACCATCTATCAAGACACCTGGCAAATAAATATGGCAACAAAATTTGAAATACAGAGATACAGTTC